ATCTCAAGATTGGGCAAACTGAAAACAGTCGGTGATTCAACAACCGCTCATAGCGAGTGTGTGGTGTGCGTGGTCACGGTGGTGCAAACTAGGAAGAAATTTATCTCATATTTATCCAATTATTTATTATAATCATTTAATATTTATACAAAGGTGCCAAACACATTGAGGAAAGAAGGTATACGACCTTATAATTATATAGTTATGATATAACATTTGAAATCCTAATAATCATATGTTTGTGCAAGCTCTGTTTACCTCTGTTTGCCCAATCTCAAGATTGGTTGCCCAAACTGCGGATGCGCTGAAATTCCAAGTTTGTGCAAGATTCCAAGTTTGGGCACAACATAGCCCTCGTACAGTTGCCGCAGGCCTGCGGCAACTGTACGCGGGCTATACTACTAGAGTAGAGGCTAGAGCTAGTAGTAGTACCAAACAGGCTAGAGTCTGCCAAACTTTCAATAATTTATCCGAGTCAGGTGATTTCCGTAGCATACGTACCAGTTTACACAATTCAGCATGCAACTCCGTGAGAAAGTTTGTAAGCTCAAGAAAATTTAATGTTGTTTCATTCACAGACGACTTGCGGAAAGTCAGGCGAGCTTCTCCATGACCACAATGGCAATGCCAATGGCGCATGCACATCGAATACTGTGAAATCTTTTCAAACCACTCGTCTATACTACTGGCAGTGACAATGCACATTGCTTGCACATAACTATGAAGCAATTGCTCGCTTTTTGAAGCGAATTTAATGACTATTTATAAATCAACATTCGAATTTGGGTAGACTCATTCTTGGATATGGACGGGGCCATATTTACTGAAACGAGCTGGTTATTTTCTCCTAATTACTTATGAATATTTCGTTGTCATATTATATAAAAAAGAACAAATGCAAATAGATACATTATATATATTGTTAGGAACAGGATACCGAAATTTACTATTTGTTATAAAATTGGAAAGCACAGAAAATCTCAGTTTTACTTTGGCGATACTATCAGATAGCTCGTGCTCTTATCTCAGCTAGAGGAGAAGAGGCTGAATAATAATGTTATGTATTAATGCGCTACTCTTCTTTAACATCAAATTTTGCGATGGCTTAAACCAACAGGCAAATAACATAAGAAATCAATTCATTGTTTACAGTCTATAAAAATAATATCATTGTATTGTGGCAAATATACCTCAAACAAGTAGACATAAGGAACTATGCTCTAGATCCGCGTAATGATATTAAACAGGGTGTTATGAGGCTAATGTTTTCATTGCTCCTAACATCGTTCACGAGTTTGTACTGTACTAGGCTACATTACTTCGACGTGACGTTTCTTTGTGATGTTCGTACAGCGTTTAGATATTACTATACAATTTTAGAACATGGGGAACTGCCTACAAACATCAACCTCCGATGATATCAATCTACTGCGAGACAGTGAAAGTAGCAATACCCGCGATACGTCACCAGAACAATTGGATCCTCCACCGCCATATCAGGTTGTATAAATATTATTTTACCCAGTGACCGAGTGAATTTCGTTATTTAGCCTAATTATTACTGTTGTAACGAACGTTATCTATACACTAGGTATTGAATAAATAATAAAGTTAATGGAAATGAATTTGTCTATACAGTGTGAAGTCATGTACAAGTACACATATTCAGTAACTTTGTCAAATCCAGTAACACGTACTAACAGAAACCCAGTCACCAGTGACTCATCAATATTGACATTTCCGTATTATTATTAATTTATTTTTAATAACATTATTAAAATGTCTTACTTGCCACAATGATAAATCTACGAATTGCAGACAGCATGTTTTTAAGAGTGTTGCTGACCTATGATACAAGTATAGGCTGGTACCTATAGCTTTACCTAGATCTTTGTTATCTAACCTACCTTGTGTATCTCTATCTAATTAAAATTGCGATTTTTGTAGTTCTTGCTAATATTCTATTCAGATTCAGATTCAATTCAGATTCAGTTATAATTTGAAGCTGATCCTGAAAGTCTCACTGGTGAAGCAGTATATATAGTAACAATACAGTATAGTAGCAATAGGTAGTGATAATATTATGCTCTACCTGGGTAATGCAAATTCTACGAGTTTATAAAACCTAATGAAAAAATGTCATGGCATTGCAAACACCTTTGATTGGCAATGTTTATGTATTTGTAAGTAAAGTTCTTAAATTGTGGCTTTACATTCCCTTACAATTTATGTGAACATGTTATCTGGAAGATGGTGATTTTCCTTTAAAAGTTATTCTTGGTGGGAATAGTAATGTCATGGGATCAACCTTCAAATTTTAATTTAATTGGTATTAACAGAACTACAAGCATGCTTAGCAACCCCATGAGAACATTTACCATCTTTTATTGTATAAGTAGTATTTTTAACTAACAATTTTTTAGCATCCAAAACTGAAGGGAACCCCAGTCTCAAATATTGCAATGTGGTTGGGGTATTAGGTTGCCATATATTACTGCGTGTATTAAACTTATGATATCATAACCAATTTGTTATTCGTGATTTCGTTAGCACTTGCAAGTTAATAGCTGCTGCTGTTATGGACCTGAATAATGGGATGATGTGCCAGTAAGTTATTATGTGACTGTTTGCTAATGACAGGAGAATATCACCCCTTATTTGCTCAGGTTTACTTCAGATCTGTTTACAAACTGACTAAAATTTACTGCAGTAGTAGTTAATTCAATGTTCATACTTGAATACAATGTAACACTTGTACCACATTGTAGCACTATCTATAAGGCTCCCTGGGCTAAATTTTATGTGTCTTTATCTCGTGTAAGTCGTGATAATGAAACTTCTGACATATCGATGATTATACAAATGTCAACATCCTTGGTAGAGGTTGGTAAATAACAAAGATGTTGCCTTTCTGGTGAATTTATCATAGAACTTTGGATAACAGCTGTGCAAGGCAACATGCAGACAATGGTAGCAGCTGTTTTGTTCCGTAGCTATTGTGTGACCTCGACCAATGTTGTTTGTGACCATGTGGCCATGTGGCTGGCAGTGGTACTTGCTACAAGCGCACGTTCTATGTACACTCTGCACTGTATATTTCTTTGTCCTGAACTCTGGCTGTTCATTCGTGAATTGTCTGTCTGGCCACGTTTCCAAAGTCTGCTAAAAAAACTGTAGTGAGAGTTCAAACTAGTCAAGCTTTTCAATTAAGGATTAATTTGCTGCAAGCTAGTATCCTAAAAATCCTATCTAGCTCTTATAATGTATTATATAGAAATTATGTAACTGATCAACTACTGAGCGAATAATACAATGTGTGCATACAATGTATGTGCACCATGCCATTATGATATTATGATATATTTTGTCTAAATTTCAATGGCTCTTACAGGAGGCAGTAAGACCAACAGTACCGGTATACCATACCGCACCAAACGTAACACGGCCTGCAACACAGCTGACGGAGGAGGAGCAAGTAAGGATCGCACAGCGTATTGGGCTTATTCAGCATCTTCCTACTGGCATCTATGACGGCAGTAAGAAGAACAGAGAGTGAGTAGCCATTGCTTGCCATTACCGATAATGATAGTCTTGTATTTCTCGGCTGTTTTTTATTGCTTTTTGTTCTTAATTGTTTTTCCCTTAAATGAATCTCAACCTAAATTCACATATACAACCACTTAACTTCAAGGCCACTGGAACAGCACATCTTATGCAGCTTATATGATTAATGCTTAATAGGTCATCATGTTCTAGGTTTCTTCAGTAGCTTCTGTGTCATGCTTTGATATCTCTTGCCTCTAATTATAATATAACTAAATGAATGAAATAATACTAAAAAGTAAAAAGTCAATCAGTGATAGCTCACGTTGCAGTAATAGTTTATATCGATGCATTTGAGCAGTCATGTTTCAGTTTGCTATACAATGAACTAACTTCCGTGTTTCTTGATGCTCAGATGTGTGATATGCATGTATGAATTTCAATACGGCGACACAGTGCGGTTCCTACCGTGCATGCATACCTACCACACACACTGCATTGACGATTGGTTGATGCGCTCCTTCACGTGCCCCTCCTGTATGGAGCCTGTTGATGCGGCCTTACTCACCACATACGAGACAAACTGAATGTCCACTTGTAAAGAATCCGATAAAGAAACTGCCCAGGCATTGCTCTCTGTCTGGGACAGGGAGCGGGGAAACCGCCTTGGCACTTGCGACTAGGTAGATATTTTTAGTCATTTACCTCGCCTGTCTGGGACAGTCCTTGGCTCTGTATAATGATGTCACGTTTATCACTTTTAAATCTAGGTTTCTCAATAGACTCCATGAATCAGTGTACAGCCATGTGATTCTTACCATGTCACTGAGTTGCAGTCACATTGTTCACGGGATGTTGCATTCTTCTTACCAGATATATTTCACATTTGGTCAGTTTAAATTTGTGCCGTAATGGTAAAGTGCCATGCTCCAGAAAGTTGTGCTCTTCCGTGTGTGTTTTTTTCTGGGGTAATAGAAATTGCTAAACATCTTGTGACATGGGTTCCCAACTCCTACGATTGATCTGGGAAGTTGCTTGCCTAGTAAACAAGTGCTCTGAAATGTACAGGAAGGAGTATGATTAAACTTTCTATGCCTCGAGTTGTATACTAGATGAGGATTCTTTATCTGTGTTACTTTTTAAGCATGTATATATGCAACCAATGGTCATTGCGCGATGAGGTTAATATAGAGCATCACAATTTGCTCATATTTAGTGAAAATGAGTTAGTGTGCATGTTACTTATACAAATAGACAACGTGTGCTTGTCACTAGTAACAAATCTTACACAGCGACTTCTATGAGTGGGGTGACATGGGTAGCTCAGTCAAGGCATGGTCTGTATCACGATAGACCGTCACGATACAATACGTATCGTGACACCGTCAAGAGAAACTACCTAGTAAACTATACATTCAACCGGAAATCTACCAATCATGTCGTGAATACTTATATATATACAAATCGGTATCATGAAGCGCTTACTAAACAACTGCTAGGGCCTATTTAACTGCGAATTGTGTCATGCTTATTTTGTTTTCTGATGCAACTATGCTACTAAATGATATGGATTTTATTCAGTAGTGTATCAATACATATATATATCGTGAATAGTCAAACGTATCAATATGTGTATCGTTTAGGTTTGTATCGCGATACATTAATCTATCGATGAATCGTCCCACTCATAGTTACTTTTTCATTGTATACAGAGCTGGAAAACCTCTCGAGATAAATCGTTATAAATATTTCTTGGATACTAGTATCATTATTATAAGACAGCGATATGGAGTACACTGATATAATCAGCTTGTTGTTTAGGTGAATTTGGTTTGTTGTTTAGCAAGTTAACTGCTAATTAAATGCCAGAACAAAACATAATTGCAATTGGTGACTAATCCTCTTCAGCTGGTATTGAACAACCGTGACTACATTGATGATAAACAATTTGCATATGTACATACCTAGTTAATATGTCGGTAGGCTTCATCAGCGAAGAGAGAAGGTGCAGTATTTTTGCACAAGGCTTGTTTGTCCCGTATTGTTTAGTAGTTTATTTACAAAATGGCATTAGGGGGAGGCTGCATGCTGTGTGACCTTCCTCATATGAAATTTCGACATCAAAGGTGAAAAAAGTGCAATGCATAGCAGTATAATTATGTAATCATGTATAACAAGTAAAATTAAAGGTAATATATTATTGGATATTTTGTTTGTCCATATAGTCATTAACAGTGTGTTTTAGCAAGGCGCGTTGTTAACAAGGTGCACATCGCAATGTATACTCCACTAGTCTTCAGGGTTTATTGTAGCATGTATTTGCTGTGGTAGGGTTGACCAGTACCACTGGTATATTACACTATATATACTATACTCATAGTAGTAATGGTAACAGGAGTCAATAATATTAGTATTTACTCATAGTAAACACTGAACAGATATGAGATTGTTATCTGATTATATGTTAATAATATTCCAGAATACTTGGAGATTCACGTTTAAGACTGATAACTTCGTTTAAACTTCATTCAACAATGGTAACCACACCATATTTTGTGAAAATGAAAGAAAGGTGGGAAGTGGTGGTGTTCGTGGGTGGCAGAGGATGGACGAGGGCTCCAGTAGTGACTGTATCGCGCGCTGCCTTAGACGATGTTGTAGGTTCACTACACTTTATCAGTACATATATAGTCAGTACAAGATGTGTGCCCACTATTTAGTCATATACAGTATACTGTGGAACATGCCGTGTGCGCACGATACTCTAGCCTGTGTATAAAATGGTCTTCTGCCGTAGAAACCACTCAGACCACCATTGACATTGGCTTGTAAATGATTGCATTATTATAGGTAAGCCTGGGAAGAAAGGTGCTGTTAAAAGACACGTGATATTTTTAAAACACATATATTAGTATGACTTTTAAGCATGATGATGTGATGCATTTGGGGATTGGTGGCGTTATAAAGTTAGCAGTGGGAGGAGAGGTGTATACTGCTTACGGATTAGTGACTTTTTAATTTTTTTTTCTCCAAAATTTGCTACATTTACTGTAATAATGTGTCAGCGTGCGTGCGTTTAATGAGGTATGTGTGGTATTAGTGCCTGCCAAATTACGTTGATCATGTATCCGGCCGAATCATTTATGTGAGTAAGAACAGATGGCTAAGGCATGTCTAGCGGTATCGGCTATCATTTTCTTCTTTGTGGAAGTTCTACATTGAAGTTGCTCTGTAGTTTGAGAATAGGGTGTTGGAAATGGGAGGGAGTTGTGATGGGGTAGTATTGTTGTGCACCGTGTGTTAATTTATACTGTACATAAACATGAGTGTTCATGAAGATTATTTATACGAATATTTCACAAGAAAGGCAACCACATTGTAATCTACCACTGAATATAATATAATTGAAAAAAATGTCATCGTCTATAATTGCGTTATTACGTTTTACTGCTTTTACATTTGATCATGTCATGGATATATATAACCAGAAGTCTGTTATACTATATATATATATATATATATATATATATACGTACGTATGTGCTATGGTATATGGAATGCTGTTATCCATAGATATCTATACTATATACGCATCCCGACTTGTGTATTATAGGATATCTCTATGGCGTTGTCCCCAGCTGCTCCGTTGTGGCGCTAGAGTGCGCTGGTAGTATGGAGAGTGTACTGTTACTGCATGCTCAAGGTCGGGTAAAACCTCAGGTCAAATAGGCGGTGTAGGACCAAAGAGCTTATAATGATAATAATAAGCATTATAAGCTCTTTGGTAGGATCATATGCTACGCACCTGCGTAACCCGCCCATTCTCAAGGGTTGTGCAATGTCATGTCGTAGCACTCGCCAACCACGGATCTTTTCTTACTCCCGCTCTTTTGCTTTCTCTCTCACTTTCTCACCCCCTTCTCTCAGGCACGCGTGCACAGGGGCGGATCCAGAGGGGGGGGTCGAGGGGGTCCGGACCCCCCCTTTTTACCACAAAAAAAGGAAAAAAAGCATACACGCACGCACGCACGCACGCACACACACACGTCTCTTATATTTTCTCCATAACAAAATATTGTTTAGCGCTAGTTTTTCTGATAAAGATTTACTTATATATATAAATATATATATATATATATATGTAAATTCGTTATAAAAACCTAGAAATGGGCAAAGAGGGGTCCGCAGGCGTCCGGGGGACCGGATCTGATAAAGTTTTGCATTCTAGACATCAAAATTACTGCACAGATGCTCTTAGAATGCACCAATTTTTTTTTTAAATCTTGGGGGAGGTCCCCCAAACCCCCCCAAAGTGGCCTTCGGCAGCTTTTTAAAACACCAGAAAAAGTAAGCAGGAAAAAGTGCCCTTTATTTCTTCCTGGACACCCCCTTTTCAAAAATCCTGGATCCGCCCCTGGTGCACGCACACCCACATGAACGTAAACACGCACGCGCACGCACACGGACACTTTGTCTCGCCCCTATTTCTTTCACTCACTCGAGAATACCACCCGTAGTGCTAAAATGGAGACAAACAGTAAATAAGAGTGCATAGGCTCAAAGAGCGGACGTATAGATGGTCTCAATGAGAAAGTTGATGACCTTGAGAACAATAGCAACCTTGAGACTATATAAACCCGTAGCAGACGCGGATGACATCAGGACTTTAACCGGAGGGCACGAAATGTCTAGGGTCACATATTCTATGGTACTACGAGGTTAGAATGCCGGCGACGACGATGCTTAGAACCTAGTATTTCAGCGATGGCCTTCCCTTTTCACAACTACTGAAAGTTGTGTCAAGTGCGTTTTCCACTGATGCAAATGGTAAACCAGCATGCAGTAACGTCTTAACCTCAACCCTAATCTTATAGCAAACTGTGCGCTGTCTACTTTACATGTAAAATTTCTTAATGATAATATATACACGCACGCGCGCGCATGTAAGCATACGGGTGCACGCACGCACGCACGCACACATTATCAGGAGTGAATATAAGCTTTTTGTTTGTATTTACTCCTGATATTATACATATTGTAATATACAAGGCAACGCAGATAACACGCTGCTTTAAGTACATGCTACAGTTTTCGGGAAGACTGGGTGCCTTCTTATTTATTAAAGTAAAACACGAATATAGAATTTTTCTGACAAACGACTCGTGCGTATGTGCTCTCTACTGAATGAATAATCTCAACAAAATACATTTCATTTGGCAGATACCCGGCATGAGCGAAGACAAGTGGTATGTTTAGAAAGTCATTGTATCTGGAGTCCAAATTTGTAATGGCAAGTCAGTCTCCTGTGCAAATGGCCAAGAAATGGGCAAAATTCCATGACTTTAGTAAAAACAAGCTAACAATTTTTACAGTTTTAACAAAAACTTTCTTACAGGAGCATATTAGATAGGTTGAAGGCAGTCTTGTTCTATTATGTATTAGATTTATTTTAGTATTCAAATTAATTAGCCAATTTTAACATTCCTCTGAAATTTAGGGGCAGCTGCTGCCCCTCGACCTGTACTTTGTTACTTTATCATTACTTTTTACATAAATACATGAGATATATTCCCGGTTAATTGCATAACACGCGAAAAACGCAATTTTAATAACGTAGTAACTAGTAAGCCTCCACATAAAAAGTAAAATACTACGTATTTTGGGGTTTTCAATTTTTTTTGTAAATTTTTTTATTTCTCCAAAAAAACTTACAACGATGGCAAAGGCCAGACGCGTAACAAATGAATTTGAAACTGATACAGTTTATACAGCATAGATCATCATGCAGTAGAGCAACATGAATAATCACCAACTTGCTTACTCTCAACGAATGCCAAAACTTAAATGTTCAATTGAAATACAGGCTGGCCCCTCCGTGCGGTCTTATCACCATGTAATTCCTTCCCTGCCCAGCCGCCAAGTTGGAAACAGCAGTCTCTCTCCCTGAACTTTCCAAGGCACGGCTAAAACTCATTCATACTTTTCAGCTCACTCAAGTAGTAGTATTCTTGGCGACGACAACATCTCCCGAAGAGAACTCGTGGGAAGCAAGGATTACACGTACGCACGCCGCCGTCGAAAACTAGCGTCACATGTACATGTAAAACTTCACTCTGCCACCACCATTAGTCAAACATCAACGGATTGCACCCTAGTACAACAACGCCTTTCACACAATCGCCATCCGCAACAGGGTTCAACCACTTTTATATCGTCCCCAAAAAAAATCACTGAGATTGTTTTACAGGAAAACATCCTCAGTGAGACAATTCATAGACGTGACGCGCACAAATACAGCAGATACACATCCATATACAGAAACATGGGTACAAACAGAAAACAAACAAAGTTTGACAACATGATACAGTGTGGGATTTCGACTTTGCATTGCTTTGTCTGCTTTGCATTATTTTTACCACGTCAATTTACATACTAAAGTTACTATTACAACCACGAATATTTATTGCATGTTTTTACTGATAATCGAAAGCAACGACATATCAAGGTTTAGAAAGAAGGAAGTGGAGAAGACACTATTCGTTCATTATTGCAGTACTGAAGTAACGCTATAAAATGACCATTGGTTCAATGATATGCAGAGATCTAGCCGAACATTTACCATTGCTAGGATAAACGGAAAGACTCCACTCAACCCTCTGACCCATGTCAACAGCGACAAAACACAAGCGAAGTGATGAAACGGCAATAAAATATCACAGTGCTACTGACAGGTTCAACTTCAAGAAATCAAATCATTGTCCAGGCCTTCCAAACGCTTGGAAAGGCAAACATCAAAACAGACATACACACACGCACTCACACACACAGACCTTCAAAATAAAAAAAAAGCTTTCATCCACAAATAAATCGAGTGCACACCATATTGGTGAGCGGTTCTGTACACTGTTCCAGTCAGCATTGGACCTGTTATCTAGCTCAGACTTATTACAGGCCAATGCAGGCGGATCATCTTTAACTGCTTTCTCGTCGCATCATTTACTTAGCTATGATATCCTGACAGTAGTAATGATTAACATTCTTAGCGATTTTCACATGCTGAGCAAAAACCTACACCTATAGATGGTAATACTAATGCATGGTCGATTGGCGTTTCGATACAACAGCGTTTCTCATCCAGTTAGACACCACAATGTGTGTTAACATTATTACATTACAATATATTGTAACATGGGGTTATGCTATATCTCGTTATTACTGCAATCGGTGCCCCATTGCTGCCATATTGCTATTACATAGTCATAGTCTCCATGTTATAGAAGAATATCAAATACAGCATGCATGATTATTATCCTTCTTGCTTCTTATAACTATCCAATCACGTGCTTAGGTTTTATACGATGCTATATACGCTTAGAATACGATCAAAAGTCAGTACCATACATGGCATATGATAAACTTGCATTAGAATACTGCACCTAGCCAATCAGCGAGTGTCGTATGACCTTCCCATTGCCACGGGCAATGAAGAGAACACACTGAACAAATGCCGAGCAAATCACAACGGTTTTCCATGAATTTAAAATACATGTGAACAAAATATCTTAAAGTTTTCTAATAAGATTGAGAACAACAATGATATATGACAAAGGACTTCTATGACCCGGTGCGGCCAGGGAACGAACACGAACACCAACACGGGTTCATGCAATTCTAAGACACATAAATTGTCAATCACAGATCGTACTCCAAGTTCTAAATGCGTCCAGCGGCCGCCTTGCCCGCAACCACCAAATTCCGTTCGCCGGCAACGAACGCCACTGAACGGCACTTAAACCTCTTCATGGACCGGCCTGACCACATCGCCTCATTTGACACTCGTGACTATCTTACAAAGAACCATAGGCAAAACTGATGCTTCGTCCACTATTTACAATGCCTCCCGCGGGCAACAACGACACTGCCGACTCTCCCCGCATCAGCTCCCTATGTATCAGCTGCCGTCTCACGCGCGTGCGCACGCCTCTACCCGTTTAGCCCGCAGGGGACTGCGAACCTCACAAAGTCGTTGGCAAATCTCGCCAGCAGCTCCTCGCGAGGCAGCTCCTCCGGCAGCGAAAACTTCCTAGTGTTCTCCGGACTCGGGGTCAGGTCGGCGACGACGATGTTCGACGCCCTTTCCGGCACGGCCGCCCGGCGCTTCCACAGCAGCGACTCCATAGGTGGCGAAAGGTTAAATGGAGTGCCTGCAACACGTGATTCGGCATTCCATGAGGGCAAGCTATAGAAACTGGTAAGCGAAAAGGGAGAGAGCGGGATCTGGTGAACCCCACGCACGTCGGGCACTACACCGCATAGTGCCTACCCACGACTCATGTTCACTTTCAAAAACCATTTTTTGGGCAATGTAGGCTTAGAGCTGTCCAACCTTTACATCTCTCGCATACTCTCAGACGGAAATGGCATTGTGCTATGCATAAAGGCAGACGTATGTATATGCGTGCGTGCGTGCACGCACACATGCATAACACAAGGAGACACAGGTAGGTCCACTTACTGTAGCAGGACGACGAGTCAGATTCCTGTTCCTCTGTAATAGACATGTGTGTGCAAATCATGCGCTTCACTGCCAGAGCACTCTCAGCAAATGCAGACAGATCTTTGGCACTATTATTTCTGCAAGTATTAAAACACAACTCAATCCCAAACATTCTTCAACGTTACGATTCTTAGCATTCTGATCATCACTAACAATCAATGTGACATCGTTAAATATCGTTATAATGCGATAGAACTGCGTTTACCTTAACAGAACTTTCGGTGTCTGCAGTGGTCTTGTAGCTCCTCCGTCCCTCACCCAGAGGTGCTCTAGCACCTCGCTAGCGCTGTAGCGTGACTTTGCATCTTTCACGAGAAGGTTGCTGATCAGGTCCTTTGCGCTCGCCGAGATGGACGCCCACTCACGATCGGGAAAGTCGTAAATCCCATCCTGAATCCTCATGAATAGGGAGTCCTGCAGGAACGAATTCACGGCAAGTGAATTTACGCCTTGTCGCAACGGCAGATTGCTGTCAGCGCGCGTGAGGCAGGCACGTGACCGCGCCAACATTGCCCGACGTGCAATATACCAAAGCAAGAATATATAAATAACTGGTTCAGTTGCCACGGCACAACTATGGCTTTAATATCTCATTAACGACACAAGGGGCAGGAAAGCACGTAAGACTTACCTGGCAAGCCTCGCAGGCTTCTCCTCTCTCCCAACCACAGTCACTGCCACACTGGCCATAGAATGGTGGATAGCCACACAGCATTATATACCTGCACGAAGATCATACACGAGCTTCAGTAACAGCTGCAGAATTGTCATCTTAACAGCCAGCAACAGCAGCAGATAAACTAACAAGAGCCGCAGAGCGTCTGGGCTCATCTGAGGTCTGTTGCTACGGTTATAAACGTAACATTTAAGTTGTGCGTAGTGACACCTTTGTTAGGCGCAGATTTGCAGATACGCAGTTGCGTACACATCATTTCAGCAACCTTCTGCATTCTGCATACCTCCCAAATCCCATTGGTTGATACAAATCGCGTGCCTGAAACTCCTGTTTCATGTTTTATGGTGCATTGTGACCCTAACCCTAACCCTATTAAAAAAAAATCTAATTGTAAAAATTATTTGTTGTTATGAAATTGTTGTAAATATAACATGTAAATATTTGCGTTAATTGGAAAAAAAATAGTTAAATGGATAAAGATAGAAAAATACAGAAAATCCAGATTCGATCCAAGGACCTTTGAGCCGTAATCCTGTGCTGTAGCCGTTGGGCTATCCAGGTTTATTGGCTTTCCAGATTATGGATGTGCCATGAATATGAGAACACTGTGTGTGACATCATTGAGGCAGTTAAGATTTGTGCCGCAATTCCGTATTTCCTCCTATACCTTTAGTTAAGGGGGAAATATTCCCCCTCCGTTTACACATCTTGACCTTTGACCCTTGACACCAAAATTTGTCATCACGAGTCCTTTTCACGATCCCCCCGACGTCCCGAATATCATGACCGTACGTCGAGCAGTTAAGATTTGTGCCCAACTGTTGATGCACGCACGCACGGCCGGACGGCCGGACAATCATGCGATTCTACACACTGCACCTGACTACGTCAGATGAGCTAAAAACAGACAGTACAAACGATGACTGCAGCCGCCGTTACCCATCCGTTCATGGATCCCCGATATCCACAGCGTATCGCGCTAGACACAGAAGAACTTGTGCGTTTCGAGCAGTTGTTAAACAATCGTTGGTTATGCTTACATGATAACCCCAAGGCTCCAAAGGTCACAGCGCTTGTCATATGGGGAAGCCTCCCCAATAAATGCCTCCACGATTTCAGGTGCCATGAACTCAGCCGAACCAACCTATTAAACGAAATCAGTCTCATGAACCATGAATCACAATTATTATTTTATAGTGACCATCTGAAAACAGGTCTTTCACCTTCTCTCAGAAATATGTATTTAACTGTCGACTGGCCAAAAAAGTAAGAATAATACAGCATGAGATAAAGACCAGTCAAACGCATTTTGACGGACGACGACGGCAAGTCAGCGACAAGCCTATTAGCCGAAATTACAACAGGGCAAATACATGGAAAAAACGCCGCTCGCTCGTTGACGACGGAGGCAGGAGGCAAAGGCGTTTGCTGCTTACCGGAGTCAACAGCTGAGGCGTGGTGCACTCGTTGCCGTTCGCCATGATGATGCCGCTGCCGAGATCGAAATCACAGATCTTCACGGGGGTCACCGAGCTCGCCGAAACGCACAGCAAGTTCTCGGGCTTCAGGTCTCTGTGTGCCACTCCCTTGTTGTGCAGAAACTGCAGGGCCCCTGCTACCTGCTTCACCACGACACTGGCCTCGCGCTCAGTGAAGTGTCCACGTTCCTGGATGTGCGTGAGCAATGGCCCTGTGCAACAGATCAAGCTCACGGTAAGTTCTCCGCAGCGTTTATCTGTGTAATCGAACGCAGTCACCTATGTCACTAATTAAACTGCCACTGCCATCGTCACCATCACTATCACTGTCAGCACCATCGTCCCCGTCATCATCACTGCCACCCACACCATCACCTCCACCGTCATGGCCACCAGCACCATCACCGTCACTGTCACAACCGACATCACTATCACAACCAGCACCACTGTCAGCATCCCAACCACTGTCTCCACAACCACGACCCTTCTCATGGCCACGCTCATTGCCTCCATCGTCGACCCCTTCCCAGTTCCACATTGGCAGCCCTCACCTCCATGCATTTTCTCGAAGACCAGATAGAAATAGTCTTCCTCTTCGTAGTACTCGAGCAACTGCAGGATGTTCTCGTGACCCTGGCAGTAGTGGAACGTCTCGATCTCCTTAAAGACGCGAGCACGGCTGTGCCCAGCTCTCTTCTCGATGATCTGCCAAGTAATTATGATGTCTATCACACAAGCATCCTACAATGCCGCTCACTCGGTCGATGATAAGGGAAGTAGTTTTGGCACTTAATAACCACCTCTTTCTGTAAATTACATAATTTTATGAAACCCAAGTGCACGTTTTCTCACTCGGTGTGAGACACACAAGATCAAGTAGAAGTTGCTGCGAAATCGTACAGTGGTTTGATCAAGGAATGCAGTTTTATTATTTAGATACACTGTCGATTCCAGCTCTTAATGAACCCACTCCAAAAATAGTATAATATAATTTATATTGCTTTGCTACTAGACTTTACCTTAACAGCACATTCCACTCCAGTCAGGATGTTGATGCAGGTGTTAACAGATGCATATGCCCCTTGACCCAACACATCTGCTGTGAGACTGTACAAATCTATTGGCAAATAATTAAATAAGCTTTTACTTTTTCCATTCATAGACAGAATATTGAATATATATACACACTATATCTGTTATTCATACATTTTAAAGTACATATCCCATGTACACATTGAAATAAATACCATTACACAAAGGGGTGATATGCATAGTGCAAAATCATAACACATATTAGAAAAATTAGTTAACATACTACGACATATCACCAGTAAACCATGCTTAGATTACTAAATTGACAGTCTGCAGGAATAAATAAGGATATGGAACATCTGCACAACGTTACTTGACTCATGTTAGTGTCCCCTGAGCCATGCTAGTTATTAACAGAAATAAACAAATTGTTGTATGATAATGTGCTTAGCAAATCCCGTTTATCTGTCATATCTTTCCTTATACATGAACGAACACAAAATAGACACACGAAGAATATGTCAAGAGTGCGTGGCTCGTAATCGGTTCGCATGCGGCTCCCGCACCAGAACCAGAAACGAGAACCGGCTGCACAAATATAGACTGGGCCAACTGCGTGCAAGTTTGCTGCCAATCTTTTGACAGTAGTTGGCATGGGACCAGGAGAGTGCGCTCAAGGCCAGTGCAACCAAATCGCGCAGCCACGAACAAGGAACGCTGTCGCTTCACCGACCCAACAGTTTGCTCTTACAGCTAACAACACGCACACTGGAACCAGCTTAGTGGCAAGGAAGGAATGCATTGACCGTGTATAAGTGCCACTACATAAATCACTATGGTGACAGTCCAACATAAATTGCTGATGCAATGCCGTAGAAAGTTGCTTGACACGAAATCCGTGATAGATGCATCCAGTATTTTTTAGGCCAAAATATCTTTTCACTTTTATCATTCTTGGTGCGTCTATTTCACCATACCGTTTATTATTTTAAAAGCTTGTCCATACACAAATGGGTTCGGTACACAAAATAACATACACATTTATATATATATATATATATATATATGTATATATCTTACCTTCAAACCTGGTGTTAACAAAACTCGTTTGCTTGTTCCTCTTCCTTCTCGCCTTCTTCGGAACTGCATGTTCAGGAACTGATCTACTGCTGTTACTCTCCCTGATCTTTAACACCAGCCCTTCGTCCTCTATAAAGAGACAAAAAACCCAGGACATCAATATCCATTAACATAGATGCATGCACTCATACTCTGTTTTAGTAAATATAGTTAGACTTTTTAATTCTCAATAACTTAAAAACTCAAAAAACAATTAAAAGAAGACACACACTCCAACAAACTCCACCACTGCACTTCTGCTAATGCACTTCACTTTAGTTCTACAATACAATACTAGACTGACACTTCACAAGCGAGGTGTTTTGAAATGAAGTAAGGTGCTGCTGTAGTTAATAGTATTAGGATATTATGTAGAGGTAAGCAACAATACTGACCATCTCCATCAGTCTCCAGGACCAGGATGGAGGCACACATTAGGATGTCCATTGTGTTCTCCTCCGACGCCACTATCTTCTTGTGGGTCTCCCTGTCTAACGGTCCACAGTTCTTACACATTTAGATCCCTGAAAGAAAATAACACGTTTCTTTAAAATACAGATTTTGTTAGGCACAACTGCACATTACACTGTTCACGGCACAGAATCCTTCAAATTCAAGGTGCAAAAAGATTTTGGCAGGTAATTCTGATTTCTGAATTCCTTTTTTTCAGCTTGGTCACTCTCAACTTGACACAAAAAAGAACATGTTTGGCAAAGGTCAGGGGAGTGAAGATGGGCTGTGACCTAGAACCTAGCCACCATCCGCGACTACACTGCTACTGGTCACACAAGAAACCCTGCATATATTTCAAATAACTTCCCGTGATATTTAGGCGCACAGATCCCTGACATTGTTTGGATGGCCTAAATAAACACGAACACATGGATATGTGGTTAGACCCACAGAATATGTCAATAGAACAAGGTTTTGCACTGCTGAAAATAGTATCACAAATGTGTGACATACAAGCCGATTTCAGCACTTTCACCACCACTCACATTAGCTGCACGATTGATTACATGTGTTAGCATGTATTATGCCTATAAGACTATGAACTCACTACCAACATTCAGGAATGTAACATCACCAGACTGACATAGACAATGACCATTTACCTAGAAGATCTGCAACTTTCAAACAACACGAAAAATACCACATTGGTGACCAACATTTTTCCAATTCCATATCAAAGAAAAACATTACCAGTTACCACACACATTAATACATTTAAATTACAACAACACCAACAACACCAACAACAACAACTTAAAAGCATACAAGCCAATTCTACACATTGCTCCGTATGATTGCATTACTGTCACCCTGGTAATATACATTTGTACTGAATACCCTCTGCAATAAACATGTTATAAAATAAAATAATAATAAACTAGAAAGGTCAGTTGTCGCCAACTACATGTATCCTCCGTGTTCTCCCCAAGATATGTAAGTATACAAAGTTTGGTCGCGCTAGGTCAATTAGGGGCCGAGTTATAGAGCGGAAGGGAAATATGATGAAGGTCAAGGTCAAGATCAAATAAAAGCCGCAGTGACCTGGTTTTGGTACGCGACACACATTCTCCCCAAGATGTGTAAGTATACGAAGTTTAGTAGCGCTAGGTCAATTAGAGGCCGAGTTAGAAAGCGGAAGGGAAATATGATCAAGGTCAAGGTAAAGGTCAAATAAAGGTCGCAGTGACCTGGTTTTGGTACGCTGCTCACCTTCTCCCCAAGATGTGTAAGTATACCAAGTTATGGTAGCGCTGGGTCAATTAGGGGTCAAGTTATAGAGCGGAAGGAAAATTCTCTGCGGCGGACTGAGCGGCGGCGGCTGGGGAGACCATGGCATAGTATTGAGGGGATACAATAAATTTCGTGGAAAATGGTGAATGGTGAATGGGAAATGGTGGACTATATGGTGCAACCTGGCAAGCAACACTTGATACATTAAGCAGAACGCACATCATCGATCTGGAGCACAGACATGCATGTATGGGTAGACTGAGATATTTGTCAAACTGGGGCTGAGAGGGTCTATGTCCCCCAGGGTACTGCCAGAACGTACCCTGGTACTATGTAATATGCCGGACCGTACCTCGCCTACTCCACTAACGAGTCTAGGGAGTCGCCTACGCCTACTCCCTAACCCTAACCCTAACCCTAACCCTAACCATATCAGATAGTTACCAGGGTACGTTCCGGTATACCGGACCGTACCGGACATAGACCCTATGAGCCAAACTGGGCCATGTGCTACACCAGAGACATTCACTGGTCCTTCATCTCGGCCAAGTTTACCCAAGGATCAGGTTATACATCCACTATCTATATGACTCTCATGGCTCACTTTTTTCATAGTGTTAGCAGGCGCATATAAAATTGATCAGCTAAATCTAACTACTGCAAACTACTGACAAGTTTTCATCAACCAAACTGGTTTTACCTCTCACTCACACCGATGCGACCGACAGCAAAAACGTTCCTATACAGCAAGAAAAAATGGTTGCCAGACAAAATAGACTGCCCTAAATAGTTTGCGAAAGCCACTACCCTCGATCATGAAATGCAGTTGCGTTAATTCTGGCAAGCCTAGCCATACACCAGCAGGTCCCGTTTGGGATGGCAATGAAGGGCAGTTATGAAGCGATTCGCATCAGACGCAATCATGTATTAGTAGGAATTAAGCCCGATTCACACAGCCCCGTGCGCGCACGCACACGCACGCGCGTATACAGCTGTAGCAGACGCTCAGCGACGCATGGCAACTAACGCTGCCAGGGTCTATGTCTCCCTGGGTACTGCCGGAACGTACCCTGGTACTATCTAATATGCCGGACCGTACCTCGCCTACTCCACTAACGAGTCTAGGAAGTTGCCTACACCTACTCCCTAACCCTAACCCTAACCATATCAGATAGTTACCAGGGTACGTTCCGGTATACCGGACCGTACCCAGGGTACGTTCCGGCAGTACACAGGGAGACATAGACCCTAGCAGCGCAACTAACTCTCTACGAACTATGTGCTTCATCTACTTCCCCAGCTCTGCATGGTGGCCACCAGACATGCACTCGGCTAAAAATAATACAGACTTGTAGGTACGCACATACGAACACGCACGCGCACGCATATATACACACTCGATTGCACTGAACATGGCGACTGTGGCCTGATGCTGAGGGTTGCTTGGCCGCATTTTGTGGAAAGCAAACATGCGGGTGGCTATACATAGACGAGGGAATTGCTGAAAGGTTGGCTGGGTGCCACGCCGGCTCCTGCTAGACCCCGGTATAGAGAAACCTATGTCAGTATCTCCAGAAAGGGTCGACGTGTGTAGGTTACAAGAAAGTGAAGTTCTTGCCCCACACGTGTAAATAAGGAACGCCAAAGTCTAATTGTATGTAAAAGCTATGTGATGTCTAGATAGTGGGGATCACGCGATGCTTACACTGTTTTAGGAACTTATTATATTTACATTTCATGAAATCTAATATATAATGTCACTTACAGTCTAACAGATTTCAAGGTATCCCTCAGAAGCAGAGATATGACTTACCAATACCATAACACGAACCTGTTTACAATGACTGAACATTATGATATCATAACTGCATCTTACTATAATTT